ATCGCTGCTGGGAGTTGGCTGTTAACTGAAGCTGCTTTATTGGGCCTACAGAGTTTAATTTGGGCTCAGTTCAAGACCCATGAAAATATATTTTTTGGTAAATTAAATAATAACATATACAAATATAAGTATTCGACGGATGTGGCGCAACCGCCATTTATTGCTATTCGGAGTAGCTATTCGGAGTAGGTAGTGGTTTACATTTTATGTTACAAATTTAAGCATTTCAGGTACGTGCTGCAACGGTTACTTGCTTGTCTTTTGAGGCAGGTCGTGGTTTGTATTTCATATTCTGAGTTTAATATCTTTTTTACACTTGGGCCTTTAGTTTAATGGTATCAGGTCACGTATAAGTGCATTTCCTCGTTTTAAGATAATGATTCAAATTTGACCTAATGCGAATATATATAAAATATTAATTAAAATAAATATAAAATTTATAACATGTATTTTATATATTTTAAAATATTAAAAAACAAAAAAACCTTAACAGAATATTTTCAAACTAAATATTAAATTTCAACTCAAAATTTTTAATTTAAAATTTTAACCATTTAAAACACCCACTTTTTTTTTTACTTTGATTATATAATAAAAAGTAACTATTTTTAATTTTTTACCTCATTTATATGCCAATATAATTTAATTTCAGGATATCTTTCTTTAAGCGAATAAAGATTACCATAAATTATATATTTAAATTATCGCCCCAACAACCCACTTAAGAGTCCGCATCAGTTGGGGTTTGTTTCAGGGAATGGTTAGTACAAACAAAAAAAACGTTGGGGTGAGAAGGTAAATAATTGAAAAATACGGGGGAAAACAGGAAAACAGGAAATTACAAGAAATAGAATTTGGCTCCATAGTAAAAACCTCGAAAAGCAAGGGAGAGCTGCTAAAATCGAAGTTCCTCTCTTCTTCCACTCCACCACACCCTCCCCTCTTTGGGAAACCTCTGAGATTCAGGCGGATTTGGGTTTAAACAGGCGCCGGAGAGGAAGTGGTTTGGGAGAGATGTCGGACTTAGACAGGCAAATAGAGCAGCTGAAGAAGTGTGAGCCCTTGAAAGAGTCCGAAGTCAAGGCTCTTTGCCTCAAAGCCATGGAAATCCTCGTTGAAGAGAGTAACGTCCAAAGGGTCGATGCCCCTGTGACGGTGAGTGTCTTTCTTCATCATTTATGCATTTTGTCTACTGGTTTCTGAGGTTTTTGTTCTGGGTTTTGGTTGGTTTTGATTCGGTGAGAGTGGAGTAGGATGGTGAGTCGATTCTGTTTTTGGGTTTTGAATTAGGGTTGGTAAATTCTTATGTTGTTTTGAAACTGGGTTTTCTCTTACATGCTGATTTTTTGAGGATGAAGATGGATGGATTTGGATTTGGATTTGGATTTGTCTGCTTGTTGTATGTATTTGTGTGGAGAGCAATGCTTCTGTATTGGAAAAGGAATTGTGTGTCTTTGAAACAAGTATAAGTTGGGAATCACTGTGGCAGTTGGAGTTAATTACACACCCATGTGTGTGTTGGATAGTGTAAGAGAAGGGCAGTGCTTTGGATTTAGATTTTAGGGTTTTTGAACAAATTTGGAAATATGTACAAAGTTTTACCTGTTGATTGTAATCAGTCCTAAGAAAATCAGAGGAAAATGTTTCCAAAATATTTCAAATCTGTTAGATGTGACACATTGAGAGATGGATCTTGCTATAAGATGTTTGTGATTTATTCTGTAAGGAGAGAGGACACCCTTGTCCTCTGGTGGCTCATTCTTCAATTCTTACTTGCTTTAGCTGACTTCAATCCAATATTCTTTTTTATCACTCTTTTTGCCAATTAGAGTACTGATATGTTCTGGTTGTTTTCTTTGCAGATATGTGGTGACATCCATGGGCAGTTTTATGACATGAAAGAGCTCTTCAAAGTAGGTGGTGATTGCCCAAAGACAAATTACTTGTTTCTTGGAGATTTTGTTGACAGAGGATTTTACTCTGTTGAGACCTTTCTGCTTCTATTAGCCCTCAAGGTAACTGTTTGCTATAGAATGTCATGAAATCTTTAAAAGAAGCCTATATTTACTTGATTATTTCGATGAATGCTATAGGAGTTTGTGCTAATTTTGTCTGAAACATTTGGAAGTTAGTTTCATGTTGGTCATACCATGATACTCAAAGAGTCCTAAACCTAAATCTTAATCTTAAAGTAGGTTTTAAAACATTGATACATGACTGACTGAGGGGGGAAACAATAGGAGAAACACACCGAACATATGCACTAGAAAAGGTGGATAAATTCTACCAAAAAAAAAAAAAAAAGAGGAAAGGTGGAGAAAAGCTCCGAATACTAACAGCGCCATCTAGACTAGGATTTGATGATGATTTGCATGAAGTTTTTTCACAGCAAATTCCTTGTCAATGAATTAACTTGAATTCCAGATCTTAATAAATTTTAGCAAAAAATTGTAAATTTTGAATTGAATTTTAGTATCAATTATACTTGTTCCTGCATAGATGCCAGTCTGCTTTGCTTTTTGACCGTTCAACATCAAATATCATCAACTTGACTTTTCAATGTTGGTAGGTAGCATCTATTTATGAATTTTTAGTTATTGTGATTATTGATTAATAGTATTTTTTAACTAACAATATAAGCATCTTCAGGTGCGATATCCAGATCGAATAACACTCATAAGAGGGAACCATGAAAGTCGTCAAATCACACAGGTCTAGCAACCTTATTTGGAATCTCTATTACTTTTTGTGTTTGGAGTACTTAATGGCTGTCATTTGTGGACAGGTCTATGGATTCTATGATGAATGCCTACGTAAATATGGCTCTGTGAATGTTTGGAGATATTGCACTGACATATTTGATTACTTAAGGTATATATCAATTGCCATTAGATAATATCTCTCATATTGGGCACCGGCAGATTGGATCAGTAAGATGTTAAAAATTGGGGGGTGGTAATTGAGTTATGACCAGTCATTCTTATCATCATATCAATTTTGGCTTCTTTGTCTCAACTTCCATTATTAAATGACCTTTACGATGACTTCTTATTCTCTTGGTGCTTGGATTGGGTATTACAGCCTTTCAGCTCTCATTGAGAACAAGATTTTTAGCGTCCATGGTGGTCTCTCACCTGCGATAACAACCTTGGATCAGGTCAAAATCCAAAAAGCCATGATCTCTTTGGTAATTCCCATGCAGCTTTCTATGGTTTGGTGCTAACATGATGCTTTTACCAGATCCGAACAATTGATCGGAAGCAGGAAGTACCTCACGATGGAGCCATGTGTGACCTGTTGTGGTCAGATCCTGAGGACATTGTAGATGGTTGGGGCTTGAGTCCCCGTGGTGCTGGTTTCCTTTTTGGTGGGAGTGTTGTCTCTACTTTCAACCATGCAAACAACATTGACTATATATGTCGTGCCCATCAGTTGGTTATGGAAGGATACAAGTGGATGTTCAATAATCAGATAGTTACAGTCTGGTCAGCTCCTAATTACTGTTACAGGTAAAATAGCAATCCAGAGTATCTTCCTGTATCATTGCTTCTTCACCTTCATGACTTAATTCTTTGTCTTGGATGCTCACAGATGTGGTAATGTTGCTGCCATTCTTGAGCTGGATGAGAATCTTAACAAACAGTTCAGAGTGTTTGATGCAGCCCCTCAGGTTTGTACAGCAGTAAATCACCCCTTCCCTGTCTTGAATTTGAATATTTTGTACAGTGTACTGAAATATTATCACCAAATGTAGGAATCAAGGGGGACTCCTGCGAAGAAGCCTGCACCAGATTACTTTTTGTGAGATAGAGATTCTATGATTCCTTTGCTTACCATTTTGTTCAATTGATGAACAAGAGGATTTACAATCATGTGATGATGATAATCTCCAATGATATCTGGAAACTCAATCAATGGCAGCCCTGAAATGACTGGTGAGAATCGTTCTTTCGATTCCTAATGAGCTAGGAATTGTGGGCTTGCTTAGGTTGTGTACCTGCATCTACTAGTGCTTGGTATTTTGCATGTAGTGGTAACGTGTGTTACATCGCATACTATTTGAAATTGAACCCTATAATCATAGGGAGAGGAAGAGAAAGACAAGGGACATTTTTTTTGAACAAGTACAATTGGGGGGATGGGGAATGGGATTGCCAAAGCGTAAACCTTGGACTTTTAGATGCCACCATGCTTCTCAAAGGAGTTGTAGCTATTGGGTGACAATGGTGGTCAGTGAGGACACGGAACATTGATCCATAGGAATTGGATGAGGGACAATGGAAAGGCAATTTATTTAATTCTCAAATCGTTCTTGTGTGCTTATTTTTACCAATAGAGTGGTTCTTTGTGTTTTATAATCGTAAAATGATTGCATTTATTCTTCTAATCACATCCCTAGGCCGTGTAGGAGCATAAGTATACATTTATGTTTTTTTTTGGGTACAGATATCTTGATAT